ACTAAAGTGGGAACATGAGGCTGTCGCTCGCAGCCGCAGTCTCCCACGGCCGCGTCTACCGCCGCTTGGGCCTCGGCCCGGAGTCTCGCATCCACCTGCTGCGGAACTTGCTCACGGGCCTAGTGCGCCACGAACGCATCGAGGCGTCATGGGCACGCGTGGACGAAATGAGGGGCTACGCGGAGAAGGTGAGAGCCGGGACCGCGCTGGCCGTGTGTGGGGATGAGGGCCACGCTGGGAAACCTCTCCACGGAAGTGAATCCCGTCACTCAGCTGAGCACGTTCCTCCCGCGCTGCAAACGGAAGGCTGGTTGGGGGCGGGGGAGGGGGAGCGCTGCGGAGTTAGGAGCGCCCTGAATTAGCTTAGCTTGTGGGATGATTGGATGAATATAAGACATTAGAAGACCAAGGTGGGTGCCTCGATTCTTGATCGTGTTGCATTGGTGATGTTTTGTTCTCACAGCTCATCGACTATGGAAAGCTGGGCGACACCAACGAACGAGCCATGCGCATGGCTGACTTCTGGCTCACGGTGAGTGCTCCCTGCCTTGCTGGCGGGGAAGAAATCGTTAGAGGACCGGGTAGATGTAAGGCAGGGTATTCGCTTGTATGTCATAGTTAGGAGCTACCTTAGGCGAATGTGTCCCTTGTTTGAACCGGAAATGAATGTGCACCTGCTCAGCTCCCTGTAAGTGGTTCTGTGTAATTTGGTACAAGATTGGGTGATGGGGAAAGCCTGTGAAGACTGTTTGAACCTACCTACCTCTGGGAATAATTGAGTTAGATGCCTCTGCAGTTATGACTGTTTTCCTCTGATTAATTCTTCCCATCTAGGAGAAGGACTTAATCCCAAAGCTGTTTAAAGTACTAGCGCCTCGGTTCCAGGATCAGAATGGGGGCTACACAAGAATGCTGCAGATCCCAAATAGTAAGGAGCAAGATCGGGCCAAGATGGCAGTGATTGAATATAAAGGGAATTGCCTCCCTCCCCTGCCTGTGCCTCGAAGAGACAGCAACCTTACTCTCCTAAACCAGCTGCTACTGGGACTGCAGCAGGACCTGCGCCATAAACAGGAAGCAAATCTCCACAGCTCCCACACGGCTCAAGCACCAAAGACTTAACTGGAGCTGCAAAGTACATGGCTCTCATGGGTGTGTTCACAAACCTGGCTCTCATGGGTGTGTTCACAAACCTTGGAGCTCTTGTAATGTGTGAGAACTGGAAGTAGCATTGTAAAGTGGACGGTGGAAACCGGGGCCCAGACCATTCTGCTGACTCGTGGTCCTCTCTATGCACAGTAGATAAATTTTTGATTGGATTTATGAAATTGATTTTTGTTTTCTTCCCCTAGGATTTCTGGAAAGTGAGAGGCATCCAGATGCTCAGCCACCTAAAATAGTAAATTCACAGCTTGTGTTTCTGAGTCTTAGATTTAGTTTTGCTTTGCTTTTTGGTATGGGAAGGAAGTCCTGCTGTTGTAATCGAAGCTGCATCCAAAGTTCTGCAGTCCTCCTGTCCAGCTTCCCCAGTGCTTGGCCTTCTAATGTTCACCACCACACAGGGCCAGTTGCTTATCTTTTTTTCTTTTTCTGAGGCAGGGTTTCCTCTGTGTGACCCTGGCTGTCCTGCAACTCTGTAAATCAGACTGACCTGCCTCTGCCTCCTGAATGCTGGAATTTAAAAGGTGTGTGCTACAATGCCTGGCTCAGTTTGCCTATCTTAACACTTAAGTGGACCCTGTATCTCTTGATTTCAAACTAGCTTCCTGTGGTGACTATGGTTAATATCCAGCCTAGAAACCCACCCCTTGGGATTTTTGATTGTTTTCTGTTTTGTTTTGGTATGAATACTCTGTATGTATGCTTGCATACCAGAAGAGGGCATCAGATCCCATTATAGATGGTTGTAAGCCACCATGTGGTTGCTGGGAATTAAACTCAGGACCTCTGGAAGAGCAGCCGGTGCCCTTAACCACTGAGCCATCTCTCCAGCCCCTTTTGTTTGGTTTTTATGATGTAAGTTATGTATTTTGATCATATTCACCACCACACACACATCATTGTCTGTCTTGTTATTTTCACCTGGGGACCCTTCCACTTTCATAGGTGGGTGGTGTGTTCCAGTGAGTTTCATTAGGCCTGCTTACAGGAGCATGGGTATTTTACCAATGGCTGTTCTGCTGAAGAAAATTTCCCTCCCTTGACACCCTGTAGATCTACAGGAGGGATGGGAGGCACTTGAACCACTTCCCCCTTCTTGACAGTATTTTGACAGGCTGCTATGAGAGAAATGTCAATCCCAAAAGATTGCTTCCTGACAAGTAGCAATAGGAACCTCTCTCTATGAGGGAAGCTTTAAATAACTTGGTACCCCTAAAAGTGAACGAGGATAAGGCAAGCATTGTTTTTTAGGCAAGGTCACACATTCCATTTACGTGTTTCCCTCAGCCTTTGAATGGGTTTTGAATATGGACTCACCACCACCCCTGCACATAGATAGGGGTGTGGGCATCTGACAGGATGTTGGCCTTCCAGATAAGTTCCTTCCTCTTGGTGGAGGGTGTGAAGAGGAAGGCTGATAGAGAGTGAAGCATTAGAAAGTTAAGCCTGCTGGGAATTTCCTGGATGCTTTTGTTGTCAAAAGTAGACCTCTGTGGGAACCCAGAAAGGAAATCCGGTTTCAGAATAGCTGGGTCATGGGAGAAGCAAAAGACCTTGTTTATATCCACTGGGTACTATAGATATAACTGATCCTGGCTGCCATTCTGTAGATTCAGAGGCTTGACTGGGCAGCCATGGGAAGATGTGAAGTTCTCACTCCTGCCCTGAAGACTTGATGCAAGGGCTGAGGTAGGAAGAAGGTGGAGGGTCACTGTTGAAGCAGAAAGACACAGCTTCAGTCACATAGCTGTTCTGGTGCTGTTTTCCCTGCTACCTAGATTCACCTTAATCCCAGCAGAGCTCTACCTCTTCCCTTAAAATTTGACACATTTCTTTGTAAATCTTTACCCCTTTTATATGCATCCATCCCAGATAGACTTGTTCTAGGAAAAGCCCTTAAAACCAAATCTTGAAGAATTAGCAACAGGTGGATTGTGAAAAGGTTCTCTAACATTTTCCTTTGAACTCCCAGAAATATGTCCATTTGGAGCTTTACTGTCTCCCTAAACTTTTTGTGGGGGAATGCATGTGTCACACTGTGCAGATGGAAGCCAGAGGACAGCTTTCCCAAGTCAGTTCTTCCAGCCTGTGGTTCCTGCATAACAAAGTTAGGTCAGCAGATTTAATGGCAATTGCTTTTACCTTCTGAGCCATCTCTCTACCCCCTCCATATGTATTCACTAAGCATCTTCCAGTCCCCAGCATCACCTTACACACAGTAGGTAGCATGCTTTGAGAATGTCTGCAATAAATCTGGCCTTGGCCAGATGTGAAGTATCTGACATCAAGGAGCTCATAATGGCATGGGACACTGTGTCTTTAATATTCTGGCCCCAAAAAGTTGACAAATCCTAGGACATGAACTAAATCTGCCTGTGTTAGTAAACACCTTACCTCAGCAGGTAAAATATGCCTTGAATAGACATTGCTTAAATTCCAAAGCAGAGATCTCATCATTTTGAAAGAAAGATTCTGCATTTTGAGTTTCAGTTCTTTACAATAAGGTTTACATAGTAACGTGCCTCACCCACCCCAAAAAAACAAACAAACAGGCTGGGCGTTGGTGGCACACGCCTTTAATCCCAGCACTCAGGAGGCAAATGCAGACGGATCTCTGTGAGTTCGAGGCCAGCCTGGTCTCCAGAGCAAGTGCCAGGATAGGCTCCAAAGCTACACAGAGAAACCCTGTCTCGAAAAACAAACAAAAATATCCTTAGCACATTTACTAAAACATTAGAACTATGAACCCAATACCTGTCATTTTTTTAAGCCAGTAACTATCTTAGTGGAGTTGTGTCCTACCTTATCTCCATTCATGCAATTCTCCCTGTCGGGAACCCTTGGACATAAGGCTGTAGTGATAGCAATCTGATCATCATAGTTGCCTTTTGGGTCTCTGGTAGCACATTTTCTGTGGTACAGAATCCAGATCCCTTATGCTACCTACTGACCAGGTATCTGCTTGCTGTTCAACCTACATGGTGCCTTTAGATTTGATGCTTCAGATACATAGAGCAGGCTTGGGTGGTATCCCTGGCAAAGTACCCTCCTTTAACCACTTTTTGGTCCCTATCACCCAGAGACTCCACTTTTACCTCCATCTGTACACAAGTGTTTAGGTGGCTCCTCTAAACACCCCCATTCCTAAAGTCATTTCTTTGCAAAGAATATCTACCTATCTAGATATCTACAGTATTCTGCAGTACCACATTCCATTACAGTTCCCTATGGTGTAAGACATCAAGCTGAAGACAGCAATGAGAATGGTAGATTAAAAGCTAGCAAGTAGAAGTGCTCCCAAACTGCAATCCTAGTAATAATTATTTTGTGTGATTATTGCCATTTGAGACTGGAATTTCTTTTAATTGCTACCAAAAGTGATCTAAACATCATGGTTTGTACCACTAAAATAGTGTTTTTTCAACCCCTTAAAAATTGTCTTACTAGGATCCTGATGAAAAAGCATTTTGCAACAGAACACAGTGGTCAAATATGTACATAAATTAAATAGGAGCTGGAAAGATGGCTCAGCAGTTAAGAGCACTGGCTCCTCTTACAGAGGATCTGAGTTCAATTACCAGTACCCTAATGACAGCTTAAAACTAACTTCAGTTCCAGAAGATCTGACACCCTCACACAGACATAAATGAAGACAAAATACCAATGCCCACTAACTAAAAAGATTTCTAAAAAGAAATTAGTACATAATTACTTATCCTTACAATACATTATCCTTTACACATATGCATCACCTTAAAATAGTACTGCTTCCAGCTGGGTGGTAATGACACACACCTTTAATCCCAGCACTCAGGAGGCAGAGGCAGGCAGATCTCTGTGAGTTCAAGACCAGCCTGGTCTACAAGAGCTAGTTCCAGGACAGGATCCAAAGCTACACAGGGAAAGCTGCCTCAAAAACAAAATTAAAAAACAAAAAAAAAACAGTACTGCTTCCAGAGCTGGGGAGATGACTCAGTTGGTAAAGTGCCCACCTATCAAGCATGAGGCCCTGAGTTTAGATCACAAACCACAAAAAGCCAGGAAGATGGCTCACTGGGTAAAGTTGCTTGTTATCAAGCCTGGTAACCTCCATTTGATCCCTAAAACCCACATAATAGAAAACTGGCTCCCACAACACTGACCATGCTGCAGCACACATACAAGTGGTAAAATTTTAAAAAGCCAAGTGTGGTGGTATGTCCTGCTATCCCAGTGCTGGAGGTACAGGGCACAGACATGCAGATCGTAGAATCTCACTAGCAAAACAAATTCTAGGCTAAGGAAGAACTCTTATCTCAAAAAATATGAGGTTTACCTCTAGGCTCCACGTGCATGTGCATACATGCATGGGAACATATGTACACACACACACACACACACACACACACTGATCCCATTTCACTTTTACAACCTTGTAATGAATTACAACCTGCTTTTACAGGACCCCAGTCAGCCTTTCGGTGCATTGCCTTTGCTGGATAAAATCCAGACATTACAGTGACAGTTCTGCTACAGCCTGGTCCAGCCACATCTCAACCCTGCCATATTCCATTCTGGCTGAGCTTTATAAAACAACTGTGCTTTATGTGGAGATGCTAAACTACACTGTTGAATTTCCAAGACAAAAAAATGTTTCCTTCCTCTCCAGGGACTTAAATGCTGATAGTGATTGTCAAGAATGTAAACATATGTCTAATTAATTTCCCACACATTTCACGTTCCAATTTCCTGGAATATTTCTAACCAAGTCACAAACAGAAAACACCTATACATTTCTACACTGGCAAAAAATGGAAATGATGCCTGTTTTATGATATAGTCACTGAATTCCTCAAGCAAAGCTCAATATTTCTACAGTGGTCCAAACCCTTCACTTGGTCTTTTAACCACATAGACCACCACTCATACCGTATATTAGATCTGGAATTTACTCATCCCACAACCCAGGACTAGGCTGGAGCTCTGTGGTTTTGTGTACTTAGAATTCAGCAAGTCCTGGGTTCAATTCCCAAAACCAAAAAGAAAGAAGAAAAGGAAGGATCAACAAAAATGAAAAGGTAAGACCAAGGTCACCCCATTTCCTCTAGCCCTTAGGCACTGAGAGCCACACTCTGTTGTTTTCCCCTTGTTTTGACTTTTTTGTTTTAATTAGGATAATTTTTAATTAAAATAATACACCCCAAAATCTCTGAGCAGTACTCTAAATACAATTTAAAATTAACAATAATGTTACACACTTTTCTGGCATACAGTGGTTCCTTCCATGAGA